AGAATCTGACAATGTATAAAGTTCTCAGAACTTATCAGAAGAAAAGATGAACTCTTCAACATGCAAAGTATTTTAATTCGACTTCCATTCAACGTTTTTAAAACAGATATATGTATGTACAATATATATATACCGATATTTATCTCTTCCCTTAGAATCGTTTGTAGTCCTTCTTTAACAAACCTACCACCTTTTATTTAAATTTTCTGACTACATTTATTTTTTGACAGTCGTGTGGCTGTTGGATGATCGTGGATTTATTGATATGGAATGAGAAAGGTGGAAGACCCCTATATAGTACAAACTTAGCATGCAGAGTTTATCTTCTTGATATTATCGCAGTCCTTATAAATAGTTTAGTTTTCGTCTTTGTTCTCTATTAGTGAGATTTTATCTGCACCCACACACACACACACACACACACACTCCAGTGCTTCTCAAACATTTCTTCAAAGAGTAGTGCATCACTTGGGTACTTTTGTGGGTACCAGACATGTTCAGGAGGAATTTCTCCAGAGATCCCTTGGTTTTTTCTTACTATCAGAGAACACTTCGCTTAAAGTAGTAGGCATATCAGAACGGAGAGTGTCCAAAGTGGCAGACTTCACCACTGAGTTTGCTATCTCCTTACCAATAATTCCGACATGTGACGGAATCAATTGAGTATGGAATTCAAAATTTGCAGATAATTTGTCAATCAACCTTAAGATAGATATTCCGAATTTTCCGTAATTTTTTAAGTACCGAAATGAGGAAATTAATCTTATACAAGTAGTTGGCTATGTTTCTGAACTCGCTCCTACTAAAAATGTTCTGCGTTTAAGGTATCCGGCTACCCTAAAATTGTAAATTTTGCCAAAAAATGACAAATTTTTTTATGATTTTATTTTACAGGCCATCTTATTAGCTTTATAAAAATACCAAGTTTATTATTTCCCGTTCACTAGAACAAAAACGACAAGTGTTTTAGTAAGAACAGATGTCATTACTCTAAGCAAGATGTCATACTTTAAAATGCATTTTACTCAAAATGTGTGTTTTTTTTAAAAAATGCTCAAACGGGGTTAGCGATTGCTCAAAAAGATTTGAAAATAATTAATTGAAATTTTTTTTGTATGTTCTGTATAATAGTAAAAGTGTTTTAACCTTCAGATTTATTAATCACCGTTTTATTACAAAATTTACAGTTCCTGATGTGAATATAATCACTGTTTTTATAAGCCACAACTAAGATAAGGTGCTCTGGTTTTTGTAAAACTTAAAATATCTCTTATCCTGAAGGTCACTTCAAATTAGAATAACATAGCAACACATCAGAATTGAAAAATTGAAAATTTGTTCATAAACGTTTGGTACAAAATGGGCAGCGTTTTTGTTATTTTTTTGTCAATTTTTACCTATTTTTTTCTCATTTTAGTAATAATAATTTCTTTTCCTCTTCTTAATTTTAGCATATTTTTCGTAAAATGTACTAAACAAGTCTGAAAAAAAAAATCACCCATCTCCGTTTTTTTTAAAAAAAAGTTGTCGCAAGTAGTCGGATACCTTAAAATTATGTACATTGCTGGCCACCATAAATGCAACACCTCGAAAGACAAGAGATAGCACAGCAAAATTTATTTTGTAGATAACATCTTGACCAAGTATCAAATGATTAAATTTATAGACTTCTGTGAAGTGTGGTTCCTGCCAGAATCAGTAGCCAGAGTAGCCGCCATTGTTGGAAATTACCGCTGCTACACGATTCGGCATTGATTCAAACAGACTTTGGATGTATTCTTGGGGTACAGCAGACCAAGCAGCTTCCCCACGTTGCCAAAGTTGATCTGGTGTGGCAGCTGGGGTGTAATCTGGGTCACTCCTTGAGCAACCATGGACCACATGTTTTCTATCGGCGAAACATCCGGAGAGAGAGCCGGCCAGGGAAGCAATTCAATCTGGTGATTGACGAAGGACCTTTGGGCAATGTGTGCCACGTGTGGTCACGCATTACCCTGTTGAAATATGGCTGTGGCCAAGCCCTGGAGGTAAGGAAGGACAACTGGCTCCAATACCTCGGGGATGTAGCGCTGGCTGTTTAAAGTACTGGCAATTAGTACTAGAGGAGTGCGAGAGTGATATCCAATACCGCCCCATACCATAATACCCTTTGCAGGACTAGTGTAGGGGTGCATAACGTAGCTGTTCAGCATCCTCTCTCCACGGTGTCTCCAGACTCGAATCCGACCATCGTGGTGTTTCAGACAGATGAGTGACTCTTCAGTAAAGACAACTCCATTCCATGCTGCTGCTCACATCCTTCTTTCATCGCACCATTGGCTTTGGAGTCGTCTGTGGTTCTGTGTCAAGGGTAGACCAAGCAATGGACGTCTTGCGGACAGACCACTCTGCTGTAAACGGCGGTGAATAGTACGCGCAAACACTGAATGATGCGTTACAGACTCAGTGTGCTGTGCTATGGTTCGTAATGTGACTAAACGATCCGTCACTGCCATGCGCAGAATTTGCCTGTCCTCACGTGAAGTGGCGCACTGAGGTGGATGCGATCGACCACGTCGGTCCGTCGCACCCTCCTGCATCCAACGGTCACATATCCGCATTACAGTTGCTTGGTTTCGTCCAACACGACTACCGATTTCCCTGAAAGATAATCCATAATCTCGGTTGGCCGCTATCCTTCCTCTGTCAAACTCGGATACTTGATCAAAAACTGATCGCTGTTTTCTACGAGACATAACTGATCGTTTTTTGAAAAAACCACAAGAAAAACACAATTGCTGAACTCGAAATCGTCGAAATCTCCAAGCCTTAAAGAGCGCTTTGAGGGGGCGCCACAGGCATGCGTGATGTGTGTCTGCGCTGAAATTCTAATTATTTGCATATCTCACCTCCACTAATGCATGTTGTCAATTTCATGTTATTTGCGTGCTTCCTTCAGGGTGTTTGCGTTTACGGTGGCCAGCAGTGTAGTTAAACCCACAAGAGTAATAGGTGTTTGAAAAATGTATAATGTCAAACTTCTCTGGTCGACATACCTTGAAAAATTTGTTATGCAGTAGACAATTAGTTCGGTTTTCATTTAAGAAAAATTAAGATCATAATGTAAAAGTTTCACATTTTCTTGATCTTAAGCCCTTGAAAGTTTATTTAGAAAAAAATTAACATTTAGTCAATTCGATTGGTTGGTTTTTACTGATTGTTTTCAACTGCTGTCAGAAAGTCTTGAATTTCAAAGGGAAATTGCATTGTAAATATAATAGAGACTTGAAAAGTAGTCGGATAACTCGCCCACACCCTTGCAGGTCGAACATTCAGAATGTTGCCGTGCAAGGGATTTTGTTCAAAGCAGAAACTATTGATGCTGTCACAGATAATGAAAAATTGCCGGAAAAGGATGAAGACGTTAACGTTGAAGACACATTAAAAACTCCTGAAATATCACTTAGTGAAGGACTAAAGTCTGTCGAAACCGCCTTCAGTGTATCGAACAACAAGGTGCTTCGGTAATGAATTTACCGTTCCTTCGTCGTCATCGTGATGGAGTAACAAAACGCAGAGTGCGTAATACAACATAACATAACGTATTTCTTTAAAACAAATGTTAGTACAGTAGAACGTCGTTTATCCGAATGTTTATTATCCAGAGCATCAAATATCCGAACCAAAGTCCGAATACGTTTTCGAACAGTGCAATGCTCAACATTTGTTTCATGTGAGGCCAAAAGTGACGGGAAAATCCCAGGTGAGGGATATTTAGGGAATTTCAGTTGTGTGATTTGGTAAACATCTGCACGGAATATTAGGTCAGTTTGTTTCCAAGTGAGAGCTGTATACGTGCTCTTTTGTTGAATTTTGTTGATATTGAAACCTGGATGGCATGCGAGGCAAAATACTGGATTTCAAATGCTAAATGATGACGAGATAGTTACTTTCGTGCCAGAAGAACCCAACCCTGTAGACGAAGAAACGGATGAAGTCGAGGACAACAACAACAACAAAAGTAACAAAAATTGAAAAGGTCCATCAAATGCTGACGCGTTTACTGCGTTAGAGACAGCTATGTAGTGGTACGAACAACAATAAGAGTGTTGTACTACTCAATTACTGCTGCTGAAGAGAATCATAGTCCTTGCAGTGAAAAAACGCCGGTGTACAATGGTACAGTGAAAATTAAGTGATTATTTTTCACAATCAAGGTAAAATTGTGACATTTTGTACCTATTTGTCTTTTCCTTCAAGCACGTTTCCCGCATGTGATGATTTTCAATATTTGTATAGTGTCCAGTATCATATACTGCATGGATCGCATTCGGTTTTCGGTTATCCGAACAATCGTGTATCCGAACGGTGTCCAGTTCCAATTGATTCAGATAAACGACGTTCTACTGTAATTGCAAAGTCGGTTACTTAATTTTCCTTAGACAGCATAAAGTATTTTTCTGAGGAGTGTCTGATCGGGTAAATTACTGTATGCTATGTATTCATTATTTTTTATTTTCATGTAGTTAATCCTATATGCCTTCATAAAGTACGTATTTTTCCTTTGTTTAAGGGTATTTGGGCAGTTCATTTTCTGTTGTTTTCTCAAACAAACCATAAATATTAGTGTAATACAATATTTCAGCCTAATGTGGTCCGGAGGGTGGCTGAGTTTTTGGGGTCTATTGTATCATCATTATTAAGAGTAAAATGTGTTTCTATATGTTGCGAGCACAAGATATTCATAATCTTTTATTCAACTATTAGTTCACACTCTCCCTATATGTATATATATATATATATATATATATATATCTTGTTCAATTTTTCAATCGTTAATAAAATACTTTCTTTGCATCAATTCAAGTTCAAATGCATTTTCTTAAACTTGTAGTGGATGACGCTTGATATTAATACAGTTTTTCTTAAAAATATTTATTCATTAATTAAATAAAAAATGAATAAATAGTTACAAACAAAAATAATAGTCGAACACCATGTAAAAAAACCCCACTCGTTCTGTCCCAGTAGCGCAATGATAGCGCGTTGGACCTCTAATCCAAAGATCGTGGGTTCGAAACCGACCTGGGAGGGCCTAATTTCTGAGAATGTGATTTATGAATGAGTAATTTGTAACAAACAAAAATAATAGTCTGATCCCATATATAGAAAGGAAATTCATTTTCTCTATTTTGCCACTTTATTTTGTGATTCTGTCATATGTATATACATATTTTTATTAATAGTAATTATTTAATAAAAAGTAACTAAAATGAATTTTTCTTTGTTGACCTGTGTAGGAGTTGACTTATTTTTTTATGTTACTTCTTTTTATAATATCTGCTCTTGATTTATTTCATGCATATCATGCTATATTTCTTATATTTCCATATATACTTAAATATTTTGCCAATCTAGTTTTTTGACAAGCTGATTGCATTATTACTCTTGCGTAGATAATATATTTTGGAAAACAGCAATTAAAATAGAGATTTTTAGGTTTGAGGAAGGGGATACTTCTGACTGATCTGAAGACGAAGGCTATTAAAAACAATTCATTCAATGACATAAAAAAGATATCATACATATACTTTCTTTCACTCTATTACAACAAACATCACCTTCTCTCCTCTCTCTTTTTTTCTGGTGAAAGTAATTCCACGCCATTTCTTTCTGGAGTGTTATCAACCTTCTCCCCTAATCGAGAATATTTCCTTCATTTTCCATGGGAAATTGTCGTGGGACATCGATACGTCTCGCGCCGACGCACTCTGTTATCTTATTGCCGTGACCATTGGTCAAGCAGGAAGGTAATCAGAACTGAGACATCCCTGAGAGGCATCTTCAATTGGCCTGACCATTTATCAGGCAGAGCCGTCAGCTGGCATAGATGGCTCTTCCTCCCTTCCTCCCCTGGGTCCTGGCAGAAACTTTTATTGCTGTATCTTTCTAGTGTCAGGTGCATCACTGGAGACATACGCGATGTCTCTTTTGTGAGGCAATTAAAGATGGCCGGGATATAGATTATCTCCAGACTAGTGATCAGTAGATGATTGGAAAAAATTAATGGAATCGGTTAATAGCGTCTTCAGACTGTTCCCGGAATTAGTTAATACTGTAAGTGGTTTAAGAGAAAATGCACGTGATATACTTTGTGTAAGATGATTAAAAATACATATTTTATAAATAGTATTCTGGGAATGAATAAAATTAAGAAGTGTAAGTGCACATGCAACATCACTTTTGCAAGATTTTGAAGTTTGAATAGGATTAAATTTTTTTTGTAAGTCTAGATTTTACTATATTAATACTCAACATAAGAATAAATATGTCAATGTGAATGTGTAGACCATAATCAATTTTCAATTCCTACTATTAGCTCACTCTCTTTATATATTAGCCTTGTTCGAATTTTCAATCGTTAATAAAATACTTTCTGTTCATTTAATCAAGTTCAAATAAATTTTTTAAAACTTGTAGTGGTTAACCCTTGACGCTAATACAGTTTTTCAAATATTTGTTCATTAGTTACCGGTTAATTATTAAATTAAATTAATTAATGGTTTTTGACAACTTAGATTCGACTCCATTGGTGTAACAATGTAACTGTTAAAACAACGACAAAAGTTGGCGTCGAAAACCGGTTTTCAGCCAAACTAGCCAAACTGGGTGTGCTTTGTTACTACAATGCCAGACTATTCTTGCTCTTTTTCCAACTCCTACTGATAGTTTACTCTCTCCCTATATATATATATATATATTTCAAATTTTTAATCGTTAATATTAATTATAATTTCTATATATCCATTCAAAGTAGGAATTAACTTAATTTTTTTTGTATTACTTGTTTTGCATTGTTTTCAAAACCTATAACGCTTAAATAGTCTAGGGTGTATAATATCAATTGGCTAATGCTTAAGTACTGTTAGCATATAGTAAAACACATTTAACGCGAAAACACTTAAGGCGAAATATCGGTTAACACGAAATAATGCAAAGGTTCCGACAAACTACTGTGTATTTTCATACATTTTTAACACGAAACAAAAATCGCTTAACATAAAAAGATTTATTTTTTGGGAATGAACACCTAATGAAATGTTTGAAAAGGTTTCTATATTATTGGACTGTCCTACTGTATCATCGGAAAAATTCTTTCCCTTAAATAATGATAATGTGTGTACAGCCGCAATAATGACGGAAAAAGTCATTTTGGAGTTCTTTAAAAGCTCAAAAAATATCACTAAGTAGATTACGGCGACGAAAATAAAATGAAAAATGTAGCTTTTATTCCCACATCATCTGAAATGAAGAATATTCTGAAAAGTATGCTCAAATATTTAGACTCTCATTCCAATGGTAGAATGAATGACGAAATGGACGACATTAAACAATTTGTAGACAATGTGATACTTAAAAAGACAATACAAAGTAAAATACCTGATTAGTTTCCAAAAACTCCCCCCCCCAAAACATGAAAATTTTGTATTCAGTTACATAAAGTTCTCGTGAATGTTTTTGTTTTGTTAATTTTTATTAAATCCGTGCATATATACATATCTATGTAAATAAAATGTACTCTTACAAATTTAATTTTGATGAACATGTGTTTTTGGTTTTGCAATCTCCTTTAGCACGAAATTCTTTTAACACAAAAAATATCAGTCCTCTCAGTTTCGTGTTAAACGATTTTCATTGTAGTTAGTGAAGCAGTTATTGATGGCGTTTATTCGGTATGTTGTGTTTGTTGGTAAACTGAAATATATATATATAAAATAAGAAAGGCAGTTTATAATTTTTACTTAATCTTATAATGTTTACTTATTGAGAATAGATACTTTATTATGAATTATCTATACATCTACATCAAAACATTCAACTTAGTATGAATTAAGGTATTTACAGTAGAATGCAACATTTGTGTGATTTTAATTCCCTTTCTCTCTATATTTATATGCTAGAGGAGAGGCAATAAATATTTGGACACTCAAGAGATTTAAATTGACATTTTATGCTTTGGAACAAAAAAAGAATTGATACTGCAGTATTTATAAACATAGCAGTCTGAGGGCTGCTTTTTTAATGGGACCAGACAAATTTATAGTTCGATAAACTTTCCCCATCTGCTTACATAACTGATCGAAATACTATGAACTATAATGAATTAATAATAAAAGTATTGAATTTTTTATTAATAAATAAGGTTACGAGCCAAAAAAATGCATCCTATAATGCTTATATCACTACTCAACTCAAATCAAAGAACAAGAAAGCAGTTATTTCTATATTCAGGGATCTAAATACAAATTTAAAGATTCAAACAAAAGGACCTATTAGAACCGAAATTGATTAATTATAAAAAAACTGCTATTTTTTAAAGTAATGAAAAAATAATATTAAGTAGAACTGAAATTATATCAATAATATTAATTTTCTTTGCAATTATTATATACTTATAAATATTTTATAAAGTGTATACGTACTGTAAGTATTGCATGTAAGAACTATAGTATCGTCTTGGTATATCTTATCACGCAACAATTTATTAAGGTAAAAATGAAAATAAAAAGATTTTGTTTGCTAAAAATTCCTCCCATTTTATGTGTTTTTCTGTTAATTTTCAAAATTATTATTTAGCATTTAAATTATGTATATGATAAAAAAATACTAAAATAATTTAAAGCAAATAAAACTTATACTTCTCTCCTAGATGTCACCATTTATATAATTTTATTTTTTACTTCCTCTACCACAAGACTCATTTTAATTATTCAGGAGGAATTAAAATCGCAAGTTATATTTTATTGAATAGAAGTGGAGCGAAAGGAAGAAAGAGAAAAATATTTTTAATTGTGAATAACATCCTTTGTAATGAATATTTTAAGCATTCTTCTTTCGGATGGAAGCATAATTCAGTTAATTACTTCACTTCTGTTCTTGACGTGAAATCGGGTGCGTATTAAGAATGGAAAACCGTTTTCCTCTGCAGTTGGGGGTGAATTTCTTTTTAAATCTCGCCGCTGGAGCAAAAATAATTCAACGTGTTATTGCCGTTTTCTTTTTAAATTAGCCTCATTACTTGGTTGATGCCCCGTGCGAGTCTTTATTTCGAGAAGTGTTTTCCGTGGATTTCCCACCGAGGAAACTTTAAAGATGTCGTTTTCCCTTCAATAAATTAATGAACAAGTAATATTCCTTAGCTCGTATAAAAAAATTGGAAACTTAAGTGCTTATAAAAATGCTATGAAGTTTTCCCAAACAATTTATTAAATTGCTTCGGGATCAATTAAAAGTATTTTTCCGGAAGGGAATTATGAAATGTTTGGGAAATCAAGAGCAAAAGCGTTTTAAGTAAAAGATTTATTAAGGAAATTCGAGATTGATACAATAATCTTTCTTTATAGCTTGATAATTTAATGTGTGTGTTTATTCCAAATGAGATTAGAATGATGAAAGGGTGGCAAGTAATCCTATTAATAGTAATACTTTAATACATGCAAAGTTACTTAGCTGAAGCGTCTTTATTCTTCCTTTAAATTAAATGTTCTCTTTTTCTTTAAGCTTTCAAAAATGCTTATTCTACTGACAGGTAAAACAAGTTTCGTACTTGCGTCGCTATGGTTGTTCATTAAATATTTTTTGAGAATATCTCATGGAAATTTTAATAAGACTTTACATTTTATAAAACAATCTAGTTTATGCTCTTTGTGTAAGAAATGTTGAATTATATTTAATGCACAAGACAGGCTTAAAATAATAAAACGAACTTTGTGAATTTAAATAAGCTTATTTGTCATATATATCCTAAATAAAATAGTTCTTTGAAAATACTTTTTATAACTGTTTTGTTATAATGTTTTCTTTTTAACGACCTTTTTAATTATTTTCAACCAGGATTAAAAAAATTTAGTGTCATAAATTCACTTGATAATTTCGCTTAGCACGAAGTTGAGGGTCTTCGTTTGACGATTGCTTAATTATTTGGGATCTAATAAGATCGCATTATGTTATTTATGATTTAATAGAACCTTTCTGGATTATTTATGATCTAATAAAAATATACCACAGTCAGTAATGCAATCAAGCAAAATAC